TTATTTTTGAAACTTGTCATCAAAACCTAGTGGAGCATCCAAAGACGTTGCTATTTTCTTAACTCCGTTGCATCTATACCTTTTACTGGGAATAAAGATCAATGCTTGACTCGTTCTTGGATTCTCGATTGGATGTCAATCACTTTTTGGACGGTGACACATTTCCTTGGGCAAAGGGACCAATCAGTTGACCTTAACATTACGGAAAATTTGATAAAGATGCTTACTTTGATAGAATCTATGGTCTTTTCACATTCTAATTTTCTTAGTTCTTCGCCAACATTATTATTATTTTTTACGTTTATAAAATATGATACCATATTAGAAACATATTTTAAATACGACAACTCAAAATCCCTATCGTTACAAACAAATATTCTCACAAGACGCCATCCTCTCTTATATCTTATTCATTGTTATTTAGATTTGAAACGTTATTTAACACATGAATTTTCTAATGTATCATTCACACGACTCTTCTCGGTCTTAAAGTAAATATAATAATTATTATTTTAATTAAAATTTTCGTAAGATTTAATTACCCATTAATGGTAAGTCGATAACATTAATATTAATATTAATTCACAAGATTATTGATAAATATTTTAGATTATTGATAAATATTTTGTTTCAGACACCAAAATGATAATTTGAGATGTTTGTTTTTAAAAATAAGAATAAATCGAAAGTTGGTTTTATTTTAATATAATTTTTTCTTTTAGATATTTAAATTACGATATTATTTTTATTTATCAATAAATATTTAATGAGTAATGAAAGTCTTTTACACATGCATGAATATGTGCGTAACAGGACCAAACCATGTACTTTTAGATCATTGTGCTTTAAACAAAATATTTGTAATTTCAACACAGTAAAATATGATATTTAACTCTAACTTTAACCAATAGTTGATTTGATAATACTTTATATTTACTATTCATAGGTCATCGATTCAGGTTCCTGACAACTGTTGGAGGGTTTATTAGGCTATGTTTGACAAAATAGCATATGACTGATAATCTAGCTTGTAACGGATGACTGATAAGTTAGCTAGTTACTGATGACTGATAACTTAGCTAGTAACTGATAAGCTAATTTGTAGTTGATGACTGATAAGTTAACTGGACAAATCATATTTAACAAAAACTAGCTGATAAATATATAAAATGACCAAAAAGACAACTTGAAAACTTAGCTAATCATAATAATTTATAATATAAGTAAAGAATGTAATATATTAATAAAAATAGTAAAGAAAAATAAAAATAATATAATATAATATGAACTAAAAGAACTTTAAATTAATTATCATATAGATTATAAATCCTGTATCCGTTAAAACACAATTTTTTAGAAAAAAATCTACATTAATTTATGATTCTTAATTACCATTACGTATGTTAGAAAAAAATCTACATAACTTACTTTTTATGTACATAAACATTATTAGAATTGTTATATTTATTTTTTGATAACTACATATATTGAATAATAATTAAATATATTGATTAACTTATAATAATTCTAAATAATTAATAATCTATATTATATTAGAAAATATTTGACAAAAACACTTAAAAATACTTTTTATGTGTAAAGTACTGTTTATTAATGCATATTAGTTAAAACTCAATATTACAAGTAGATTGTGCGTAAGTACAATTTATTAAAACTCCATATATGAATTCGTGTAACGAAAGATAAACATCTCATTTTAAATATAAAAAATTTAAAATATAATTAGGATAATCATTGAGTTCTAACAAAATACTTAATTATTATCTTTATAAAATTTTATATTATTAAACCAAAAATAAATTCTTTAGTTATTAAACTTTAAATTAAATTATAATAAATTAAATAAATTAAAGAAATTATATAAAAATGAGAACTTTTAAATAGTTGATTTGATATATAACATTGATATATTTTTTTCCAAATTTTTATGATATGTTCAAATTTATATTTTATTTAAAAATAAAATCATTATTGCTTTCTTAAAAACACATAAAATCGTATTATAACATCGACAAAGACAAATAATAAAATAGAACATTAAAATCGAGATGTGTCWCGCTTCATTGTGCGAGTACTCTTCTAGTTAATACTAATGCATGATGTATAACTAAAATTAAGTAATAATTTTCTAACTAATATTAATTACTATTATTAATATTACTAAGAATTTATTTTTATTTATAATAATTAATTTTACTCATATTTATTTATAATTGTTTTTAATAAATAGTAATTAATATTAATGAGAGTTATAATCGGAAAAATAAGTTATTTCAACTAGCATTTCAATAGTAATTAAATTTAATGAGAGTTATTATTGGAAAAATAAGTTTATTTCAACTAGCATTTCAATAAGCTAGCTTATGTCCATTCGAGCATGTACCAAAAAAATAAGGTAGGTTATATTTGCCAAATAAATGTTGGACCAATGATCAAACAATATCTTTTGGTTACGTTAGACCAATGATCAATTGGTGGTTTTTTGTTATGTTAGACCAATGATCGGTCTATATTGCTTGGACAATATTTTTGTGTTACCTATTGCTTGGATGCTATGTGTAAACACTTGTTGGTAACAATATTTATATATGTGTATTTGATGTGTCAACTTGTATGAACGGTTTGGTTATGATTCAATAAATGGTAAACGTTTTTTCCTCATTAAATGTTAATTTTATTGTTATTTGTAACTAAAAAAATATTAAAGAAAGGGTATTTTTGTCTTTTTTATCATTTCATTCCAATTCTGTTGCAAACCAAATAGATAGATACCAATTCAATAGACATATTAAATTTTATTCCTGTCAACCAAACACTTGGTCAAACCTGATAACATTGCATTCCAATTTTTCCAGATTCCAATTCATTTGACAGATTTCATTCATTCAGAAATCATTCTGCGAACCAAACGCCCCCTTAGACTTAACTTGAAGATCCATGATATTAATCCCAATATGTACAAGTTGTCCTAAACCCGACGGTTATCAACATATGGCTATTCTAGTAGCTACATGGTAAGGTAAAAAAATCTCAAACCAGATCTTTAAATAATCAAAACGAAATTTTTTAAAATTCTTTTTCTACATTTTCTTGTTTCAATATAATTTTCATCTCTAAAATTAGAAAAAAGATAAGAAAGGTATAAAAAGTTATCATATTTGAAGGAGAAAAGAGACATCTAGAAAATTAAATTATGGATAAAAGAGAGAATGTATTATTTGTTTTGGAGGTAGAAAGGAGAAGAGATAAATTATATATTATTTTGTTGAAAATTTGTTGAAGTATTAAATGTATTGAGTATTAATAAAATTATCTGTATTATATTATAAAGTATTTGATAAAAAAATTTAAAAACCATTTTTTATGTATGAAGTACTGTTTATTGATGTATGTTACTTAAAATTCAAGATTACAAGTAATTTTGTGTGAGTACAACTTATTAAAACTTTATTTTAAATTTGTGTAATTAATTGTAGATAAACATAATCAAATACAGGATAAACATCCATTTTAAATATAGAAAATTTAAAATAATTCATTTTATTTTTTTATCTCAGTCGATGTTATAATATGGTTTTATATGATTTTGAAAAAGTCATTTTTTTATTTTTCGATAAAATATAAATTTGAATATATCATAAAAATTTGACAAAAATACATCGATATTAATATCAAATTAACTATTTAAAATTCTTATTTTTTGCGTAATTTTTTAATTCAATTTTTTTATTATAATTTAATTTAGTTTCAATAACGAAATAATTTATATTTGGTTTAATAATATAATTTTTTTTATAAAAAATAATAATTAATTATTTTGTTAGAACTCGATAATTATCCTAATTATATTTTAGATTTTTTATATTTTAAAATGAGATGTTTATCTTCTATTTGATTATGTTTATCCGCAGTTAGTTACACAAATTCAAACATGGAGCTTTAATAAGTTGTATTTATGCATAATTTACTTGTAATCTTGAATTTTAAGTAATATGCATCAATATATAGTACTTCATGCATAAAAATGGTTTTAAAGAGTTTTTGTCAAATGCTTTATAATACAATACTATATTATAAAACATTTGACAAGTAATTTTGTGTAATTATAACTTATTAAAACTCTATTTTTGAATTTGTGTAACTAACTGTAGATAAATATAATTAAATACAAGATAAACATCAATTTTAAATATAGAAAAATTTAAAATATAATTAAAATAATCATTGAGTTTTAACAGAATGTTTATTATTATTTTTATAAAAAATTATATTGTTAAACTAAAAATAAATTACTTTGTTATTAAATCTAAACTAAATTATAATAAAAAATTGAATTAACAAAATTACACCAAAAAAACGAGAATTATTTATATACTATCTTCAAATTTATATTTCATTAAAAAAATAAAAATATAACCGCTTTCTCAAAACCATATAAAATCGTATTATATGGATAGAGACAAAAAATAAAAACTAAACATTAAAATCGAAATTTATCTTGCTGCATTGTACGAGTTCCTTGTAACTATTTTATAAAAAAGTTTGTTGGAATTAATTTCTTTTCCAAATACTTTACTTTTAATTTATATATGTTGTTTTTTTTTTTTTTAAATGCTAAAGCTAATCAAGTGTTGATTGCTTCCTTAAATCCTTAAATCCACCAATGTCTTTCCGAAGGTTCTTCAACAGGAAGTGACCAAAATCACATGGTTCCTCAGAGCTTTTCACTTTTGTTAGATTTACAAAAGCATATATAATAATTAAAAAAAACCCTAGAAATAAGGCTGAGGATGATGATGATGAATGACAGCTGTAATTTCCAAAAAATCTATAACTTGACCTCGTCTGTTTATTAAGATTATTCAACCATATAAAGAAACTATTAAAGTCATCATAAATACAAGAAAGTCAAAAGGGAAGGAGAAAGCCCTTAAAAAGCCCTTGCCTTTTGGCAGCCATTCTCATTTCTCAACAATCCATCCACCAAAAATCAAACCACCCTCCACCCCTCCTTTCTTTCTTCGTTTCTTCTTCAAGGACGGTTACAAGGACCACTAGAAAACCTAAAACCCACTTTCGTACTCCATACACACATCGTTTACATATATATATATATATATATGTATATGTATATATATAAATATTTGATTACCCCCAATTTTAGTTTCTATTTTGCGTAGCTTTCTTCTGATTTTTGGAAAGATTAGCGATCGGTAAGTTCAAATTCAAGGTACCCATTTGCTGATTCTTCAATAATTTGTTAAAGATTGGAGAATTTTGATTTGGGCGTTGTGGGCTTTGTTGTTACGGATGATGGGTTTTGTTGATGATCAGATTCTTGTTTCTTCTGTTCTTGTTTTTCTGATTACTTGATTTTGCTTACTTACAGGTACTGATATTAAAGGGCTTTTTTTGTTAGAAGAAGAGGTAGATGTTAAGTCGTAGATTCAGTTGGTGAGGGAGGCTGAATTACTCTATGGGTAATATATGCTGCAATTCTGTTTCAAAGGTGAATACTGCTTATCCCTCTTTTATTTGCTTCCAGTTTTATGTTTCGAGTCAATTTTTGCTAAATTCTTTTCATTGTAAGCATGGTTAAGTCAATTGGATGTGTTAATTGCTGTTTTATGCCAGTAATTCTGTTATAATCTTCAAAATTTTGTGGTTCCTTTGCTTTCCTTTTCACTTGTTTCAATTAGGGTTCTTATAAAATTAGGGTTCTTGTGACCCCATTTAGGATCAAGCTGATCTCAGTGCGCCAAAATTACATATTTGCCTATTTTCTTGGGCATAGAATTGGGTATAAATTTGTGTCCACATGATTTCCCGATTTCCTGTTGTTGAAACTTATTTTACACGATCTACCAATATGTAAGCATTTTCTCTTAAAACTTTGTCCCCAATCAAACGTTCGTCGAATGGAGGTTGGCAAGAATTGAAGCCTTAGAAAGGTTGCCAAATTTGACCATATAGTCGTGGAAGTTCAAAAGTTCGATTCTTATGCTTACCACATTGTGGGGTTATTGAATCCCGTAAGCCTGTTGTTTGGCTGACGATCATTCGTTATCAAGTTTGCTTGGTATTTGAATTTTGATCGATATTATCATTGTCGTTCCAATTAGTGAGACATGTTTCAGCCGCCATTGGAATTTCTATTTAGTGAATCATGTCGGTTGTTGTTTTAAATCAATATCCTCATGTTCGGTGAGCGGCTATTTTGGTGCATTTGATTACTTCTAGTTATGATCTTTTTATTGTGTCCCTTATAGATCATTAGTTCTTCAAGAACGTCCGGAGTCCATCTACAAAGTTATATGACACTACTATTAGTCAAAATGTCGGAAATACCCTTATATAACTGCAACATAGAGTAAACTTTTGGAAGATAATCAACTATTGTTGATATATCACAACCTATTGTGGCTGCTGGAGGTGGGATGTAATATGTATGTAGACCTGACCTCTACCCTGAAGAGCAGAACAATTGTTTCTATTGTTGATATTTTCTAATGAATGGAAATTGGCAAATCAGTAACTTTTTATCTTGAAAATTCACCAAGAGAAGTAAATCTGTAAGTTTTGTGGTTATTAGTTCGCAGGCGGTCAATCATCATCAAATGGCACTGGCAAGGGACGAGGCCATCATGGGTCCGTTAAATACGGATTCAGCCTAGTTAAAGGGAAAGCTAATCATCCCATGGAAGATTACCATGTTGCCAAATTTGTTCCTCATCAAGGTCGCGAGCTTGGATTGTTTGCTATTTACGACGGTCATCTGGGAATTAGCGTACCTGCGTATCTTCAAAAGCATTTATTCTCCAATATCATAAAGGAGGTAAGCTTTTTTCGTTTTCAATATTCCAGAATACGGATATTATTGATTATGAATAATATCGGAAGGGCGTATTTGTTCAAAACCTAAATCTTTAACTAAGTTATAACACCTATTTTGTGACTTCTGATTGTCTTTAAAGTAGGGAAAGATATGGTTTTTGACGATTTCCTGAGCATATGTTGGTAAACATTCTTGCAGAATGAGTTTTGGACGGATCCGAACAGGGCAATTTTGAAAGCCTATGAAAGAACAGACCAATCAATTCTTTCCCACAATCCTGACCTAGGAAGAGGTGGATCTACCGCAGTTACCGCGATTTTAATCAACGGTTGTAAGTTATGGGTCGCAAATGTAGGAGATTCTCGGGCAGTTCTGTCGAGAGGCGGGCAGGCAATTCAGATGAGCATCGATCATGAACCCAATACCGAGAGGGGAAGCATTGAAAATAGAGGAGGGTTTGTCTCGAACATGCCAGGTAATATATCTTGATTTTCATGCAAGATTTGCGTTGGTATTTGAACAATCTTCACCTTTGGTAGAAAATAATCTAGGGTGAATTGAACTTTGCATCTCGTTGTGATTTCCTTGATTTGGTTTAGCATCCCGCATTTAGGATTACGTGCATGGTTTGGATTTCTTCATTCTATCTTCTTCTGCACATATATATACAGAACAAAAACTCGTTGTCCTACATTTCTTGTGGCATCTAGACCGGCACAGGACATGGTTGAGTGGGACAAAAATGCATTTTATGTAATTTTGGTGGAACAAAAACCCAAAATTGGTAAATTGTTGAACTACCCATGTCAAATTAAAACCCTGAAACCTTGCACAGTTCTTTCACCAACCCACCTCAGTCTCACCCGTCCAGTCTTGTCCAAGCGATCTGTATGCCAAACGCACCCTCCTAGAAGAACATTGGTTGTCAAATACATAGGTTTAGAAGTATCACTATTTTCTATTTCTTTTTGCATATTGAGTAAAAAGATACGGGCTTTTTAGGATATATTGAAAAGGTTTCCTCTTTAGTTGATTATGTATTGAATCGTTATATACCAGGAGATGTAGCAAGAGTGAACGGACAACTAGCCGTTTCACGTGCTTTTGGAGACAAGAATCTCAAAACCCACTTGCGCTCTGATCCCGATGTAACAAATGCTGATATTGATGCCAGTACAGAAATTCTCATCCTCGCCAGTGACGGTCTATGGAAGGTACTTATTTCCCCATCACTAAATGTTAAATATACACACCAACAACGGTATTGAAAATGAGCGATTTTAGACAAAATGTGTCGAGTACAATGTACAATTTATCGTGTTGACAGTTCTGCGCTCATTCTTACCAAGTGCCGTAATTTTCAAGGCGTTTTGTAAGAATGATGGTTTCCTTGCATCAAGAACCAAGTAGACTTGTTAAATGTGAGCAATATTCGTATATAAATGATGGTGTTGATCCAGGTGATGTCGAACCAAGAGGCAGTGGACTTGGCGATAAAAATCAAGGACCCACAGAAGGCAGCAAAGGAACTAGCAGCTGAAGCATTGAATAGAGAAAGCAAAGATGATATTTCATGCATCGTGGTTCGGTTCAACTGAAGGATGGAAGGTGTTTCTCTGTGTGCAGTATAAGGTGTACATTGGGGTTGGGGGGGTTGTGTTTGCGAAATAGAGTAAAAAAAGATCCGAAATTTGCGCATAAAAGAAGGTAGCTAAAGGTTACATTATATATATATGCTCTGTTTTTCTGTGTAAGAAGTTGAGAAGTTCTTTGTAACTCAAGATTGCAGGGTTTGTGATTGTTTGATTTGTTGAGTGAGTAGAGTATATACACAATATCTGTTTCTCGATACATTTCATCTTTAGATTTCCGAATTTGGATGTCTGATTCGATACAACGGAATCAGGCGTTACCGGATACTGGGTAATGAACCATTTTTCTCAACAAATTGGAAGGAGTGATTCTCATGCTTAGAGAGTTCCACCTCATTCTTGTGGTTATTGTTTTAATATTATAAAAGATATATAAAAGGTTAGGTTTCTAGTGAGAACGAATGTTATATGAGAAGTGTAAATATAGATTATCACCCTTGAATCAATCATAATTGAATGTCAACACTAATGAGGTGCATCGACATGTACCGGATTAATTTTCTTCTAAAACATAATTCGTGAGTGGACATGTGATTAAAGTGATCATGGGTTCAGATCTGTTCTTGTGTTTTTCACTATAACTTCTCTTCTCACACGATCTTTCCTGATATATATATACAAGGAACTGATCAAATGCAAACTAAGCCATTTATACAAATCGTACAAACCATCTTCATCCGTCAATTTAATTGTTTAACATAATGAAATTGTTTTATATAATTCTTTTGTTGATGAAATTGTTTCATATATTTTTGTTTCTATGTAAAATTAAAACTGTTTCATATATTTCTCATTTGAATGTAATTTGTTATGATAATGTCCATAATTAACACTGTCCACGATAAAAATGATTAATCAACTCTTATCATTAAAAAAAAAAAGTAAAAAATTTATGATTGGTTGAATGAGATTTGTATGATTTGTACATATAACTCGGTTTATGATTGATTCCTCTATATATATTTGACGATAACGATGGTGACTAAAGTTATATTTAACCAATAAATAACTTTTTTAATGGGGTTTAAAGTTATATTTAAACAATAAATGATTTTTTTTAACATAATCAGTCTATTCTACGATCATTAATTAATGTCTATTTGGAGCTATATATATAGGCCTTCATGAGAGTAGTCTATTTTATAGGGTTGGTTGTTAAGAGATGGTTCTTCATTTAAAAAAAACTTTAATCATGATATTTGTTAATAATTATAGAATAAAATTAAAATTATTATTATCTATTAATTAAAAAAAAGTTAAAATAGAGAGGAGGACATAAGAAAGATAGAAAGAAAGATGGAATGATGTTATATTTTTAAACTTTTAGATCATTTAATGTTATTTATTAGATATTTTTTTGACTTTTTAATAGGTAGAGGGTACAAATAACAACCCTGTTTAGAAAACTTTTTATTTTTGTTAATACTGATTTAATATGATGAAATTTATTAATGATTTGTTTTAATTATATTACATATTAATGTTAGAATTATGTAGGGGCTGTTTGGCAATTACTGAATGATTTGATGTATAATGATTAAGTGGTCAAAATGATTAAGAAACTCTAATTTTACAGTGCAAAATGAAATATAATTGTTTGATAATTGTTTATAATGAAATTAGGATGCTGAATGGTTAAGGGAGACCTAGAATATCAAATCATTTAGAGAGTTTTAGAACTATTAAGAGGTAGACTGTTTGTCTGCCAAACAAGATTCACCTCTAAACGATTCAGAGACTGTCTTTTAATGGAACTATTAAGAGGTAAACAAACAACCTCGTAGTTTTACATTTGTAATCTAGTTTATCAACTAGGTTTTACAAATATGATTAACTTATCAGATAACTCATTAATAACTATCTTCTCAACCAATATCTATACTATATTATAAAATATTTAACAAAAACTTTTAAAAACCATTCTTTATGCATGAAGTACTGTGTATTAATGCATATTACTTAAAATTTAAGATTACAAGTAAATTATGCGTAAGTACAATCTATTAAAGCTCTATTTTTGAATTTATATAACCAATTGTTAATAAACATAATCAAATATAGGATAAACAACTAATTTTAAATATAAAAAATCTAAAATATAATTAAGATAATCATTAAGTTCTAAAAAATCATTATCTTTATAAAATTTTATTGTTATGTCAAAAATAAATTACTACACTATTTGATCTAAATTAAATTAAAATAAAAATTGAATTAAATAAATTGTATAAAAAAACTAGAGCTTTTAAATAATTAATTTGATATTAATATCGATATATTTTTTCAAATTTATTTTTATTCAAACGTAAAAACATTATATTTCTCAAAACCACATAAACCGTATTATATCAACAAAGACAAAAAATAAAACGAAATATTAAAATGAAGATATATTTCGCTGCATTGTTCAAGTACCCTTATAATACGTATTAGCTAACAACTAATTTATCATTCAGTTTGTCAAATATAACATCAAAAGTTACCTTAATTTATTTTTATTATAATTTAATTTAAGTTTAATAATGAAATAATTTATTTTTGGTTTAATAATATAACATTTTATAAAGATAATAATTAAGTATTCTGTTAGAACTCAATGATTATCTTAATTATATTTAGATTTTTTATATTTAAAATGAGATATTTATTCTGTATTTGATTATTTTTATTTGCAGTTAGTTACACGAATTCAGATATGAAACTTTAATAAGTTGTACTTACGCACAATCTACTTGTAATCTTGAGTTTTAAGTAACAGTACTTAATGCATAAAAAATGGATTTTAAGAGTTTTTGTCAAATGCTTTATAATATAATATAGATATTAAAAAAAAATAATAATTAAGTATTCTGTTAGAACACAATGATTATCCTAATTATATTTTATTTTTTACATTTAAAATGAGATGTTTATCATGTATTTGATTATATTTATCTGTAGTTAGTGACACGAATTCAGAAATAAAGCTTTAATAAATCGTACTTACGTACAATATACTTGTACTATTGAATTTTAACAGTATTACATGCATAAAAGATGATTTTTAAAAGTATTTGTCAAATGTTTTATAATATAATATATATATACGATAGTATCAATACATGAGCTATGTATGTATAATTTTTTTAAAGAAAAATAGGAATTGATTTTCTTTGTCTAAAAATAAAAATAAAAATAAATGAATTAATTTTTACCGTCAAAAAAGAAATTATTGATTTCAAGAACTAAATGCATTCATAAAAATCAAAGACTCGTTTGTTCGAGATTGTGACATTTGTGGGCATGGAAACCAGTTAATTAACCCACACCCATATTTCCCCCCTAATTTCTAAATTTGATTTCCTTTTAGGGTTTACATTCCATAATTCGATCTGGTAATGCCCACATTTCAATCTTCATTTCATGCATTGCGCAAGCTTTGCATGATGAATTTCTTCTTCTTTAATTTTCAGTAGCAATAAATATGGCCAAATTATTCAGTTTCACAACCCTCAGAGATCGATGGTATCGTTATTTCTTTTCGTTCTCCGGCCTCCGATCGGTATCCAAAGATCTCGGCGATGGTACCATCATGCACTGCTGGATTCCCAGAACGTACAGACCATCGAAGCCCAATCTCCTCCTCCTCCATGGCTTTGGCGCCAACGCCATGTGGCAATACGCCGATCTCCTATGTCACTTCACCCCTAAATTCAACGTCTTCGTTCCCGATCTACTTTTCTTCGGGGGCTCGTTCACGACCAGACCAGAACGGTCGGAATCGTTTCAGGGAAAATGCGTGATGAAGATGATGGACGATGGGTTTGGGGTTCATCGGATGAGTTTGGTTGGGATAAGTTATGGTGGTTTCGTTGGCTACAGCATGTGTGCAGAGTTCCCGGAGGCGGTGGAGAAGCTGGTGGTTTGCTGCGCCGGTATCTGTTTGGAGGAGAAGGATTTGACGAATGGTTTGTTCAAGGTTTCGGATTTGGAAGAGGCGGAGAGGATCTTGTTGGCACAGACGCCGGAAAAGTTGAGGGAATTGATGAAGTTTTCGTTCGTAAAGCCTGTCAAAGGAATCCCAAATTACTTTCTATCTGATTTCATCAATGTCAGTTTCATTACGTCCCTTTTCTTTGTTTAATTTCATCAGTTTTTTAATCTTCATGTTAAGCGTCATAAACTATAAAACATCATATCTAAACGTGATCCAATAGGTTTATAAGACGTTTTTGGACTTGTCATTTTTTGGAATATACAGGTGATGTGTTCAGATTATCTAAAAGAAAAGAGGGAGCTTATTCAATCAATTCTCAAGGATAGACAGAATTCGAAGAACCCAAAGATTAATCAGGTTATAACCGCGCCGATACTGATTCCTTTTTCAAGCACCGAAAGTTGCAACATGATATACGAGTATTCATTGCATGATTATGCTCAAAATTTGATCGTTACAGTGCTTGAGAAAGGATTAAGATACCTTCTTTTTATATCTTACCCATTTGTTTTCAAACTCTCATCATCAAATGTGTTCTTCCTCTTATATATCAAACAGCCCACACTGATAATTTGGGGAGAGAAAGATCAGATTTTTCCCTTGATCCTTGGTGAAAGATTAGAAAGGTTAGGTTTACTTTGTAGCTGGTACAGCCATCTTTATTTCTGATGAGTAATTACACATGATCTGTTTGGTTCTTGTACAGACATATTGGGGAGAATGCTAGATTGGTAGTCATTGGAAATGCTGGGCATGCAGTTAACTTTGAGAAATCCAAAGAGTTCGCCAAACACCTCAAAGACTTCCTTTTTGATGATTCCATCTCCTCATTATCAAGTTCCGTTTCCTCGTTATCGAGCTCCATTTCCTCGTTATCGAATTCTCTTTCCTTCTATAGCTGCAGAGAAGAATGAATTACGCGAAGCTAGGGCGCGCAGCGGTTGATGCAAGATTTGTCGGTTACAGGTTTAAATTAGTTTTATCAGTTATTATTACTCGATCAGGAATTACTGTATAGTCTTATTTTCTAAAAAGCTCTCGATTCCCATACTGTACATGGAAGGATTTATAAAAATATTTTGGGGTTGTGATCGCCATAAAATGCCCATCTTGGTTTAACCGCATCCAATTGATATCGTATCCTTGAAAATGGCTTCCGATAATTAAGTTCTATATTGAGACGTAAGTGAAATTCGATTGTAATAGGCGAATATATCATCTACTAGCGTAAGGGGGCCGAGTTTCTAATATCGATAATGATGAAGGGATATATTGTCCCCTAAGACGTTATCCAGAAACCATAATACAACAAATGCAGATGAACGAGATTTAAATATTATATATTGCAGTCTAATAAGATATACCGATCTAGGAACGTATATAAATCAATAATAATCATATATACGAGCAAATAACAAAGTGACACGTAAATCAAGACAACGAGATTCAACGTGACTCCATTATTGGGGTGATAGTGTATGTCCACAAGGAGAGATCGATAAATTACTTAAGGGAAGATTAAAACGTGTTTACAAGATACTTGGATCAGCAATTCAACAAAACAAGTTCCTTTGATCTTTCTATAGAAGGAACTTGGAGAAGAAAACCAAATCTATGCCTGCCTAAAATATCCTAAGGCAAAATTAAGCCTTTTAAACGTCCATTGGTCCAAATGAGTTCCAAGTGACTTCCGGTATGACGTAGGTCGCCTTGGGACGTCGCCCACTATGGTTAGTGGGGAACGACCTAAGTGCCTGTGTGACGACTACATCTGTGTCGTGGTCGTGCTACACGTTGCCTGCGCCTGAAGTCGCCTTGGACGTCGAGGCATCATCACTGGGATGAGGTACAATAGGACATAGGGCCGGCATGACCTAGGCCACACCTAAGGTCATTCGGACCCTTTTTGAGCCCCTTCTGCATCAATTGTTTATACTGTATATAAGCTATTGATTTTATCAAGATTTGTTTTGATTTATTTAATATAGAATATAACTAGATCTGTAGCAAAGCCATGACAAACCTAAATGTGTTTGTCTCGAATTAGCTATTTATCAAGATTTGTTTTGATTTTTTTAATATCGAATAAAACTAGATTCATAGCAAAGCCGTGGGAAATCTAAATATGTCTTAGGATAGCTACAGTTTTTATCAATATTTGTTTTGATTTTCTTAATATCGAATATAATTAGATTTGTAGCAAAGTCGTGACCAATGTAGTTTTTTTAATTATTTAGGGACGGGTCTTGAAGTTCATATTTTTATTATTTTAAAAAACAAGTGTTTTCTTTATCCACCGTTAATTCGTAGCAAATATGTAGAGTTTGCCACGGATTAGCGACAGATCATATATCTGTTAGAAAAATGTCAGTAAAAGATAGAAAACTTGTTTTCGTAGCTAATTGTCGCTAATCTGTCGCAAATCATGACATACCGGTTCGTAGCAAATTTTTGATCACTAATCGATGCCCAGTTTTCTAGTTGTGATTTCTTTATTGCGGATTATTTTCTTTAGAAATCAACAACCTTTTAGCTTGGAGGAGTATTTTGGTGCTTGGCCTTAAAATTATGCGACTACACCAAATGTTGTCTTAGACAACAAATGTAAATTACCTATGTTGCTTAAGATACGCTAAGACAACAAAGGCTATTATATGTTGCCTAAGTTTCCTCTAATGCAACATATGGTTCTATGTTGCCTAAGTGTGACCTTAGAGTACAACATATAAATGATTCTATGTTGCCTCCATGTATCCTAGGCAACATATTAGCCTACGTTGCCTTAGTTCAATGTTGGCCGCTCATATTTTTTTTTTAAATCCATCAAAGTTTACTTAATCAACAAATATTCATATACTATGTTGCCTAAGGTAAAAACATAAATCCAACAAAGTTTACTTAGACAACATATATTCCTATTTCTATGTTGCCTAAGGTAAATATTATAAATTCAACTCAATTTACTTAGGCAACATATATTATTGTTTCTATGTTGCCTAAGGTAAACAAATTGATGYTTCCAAGGTTGACAACTCGCATTGCACAAAAGATTTATCACAATTTACTTAGGCAAAATATACTGTAGGTCATATGAGATGGCATGGTCAAAGGGA